TCTACGTATCTCTATGGGTGTGTATCTCTATGTATCTCTGTGTATCTCTATGTATCTCTGTGTATCTCTATGGGTCTCTATGTATCGCTTTGGGTCTCTGTGTATCTCTATGGGTCTCTGTGTATCTCTGTGTATCTCTATGGGTCTCTGTGTATCTCTATGGATCTCTGTGTATCTCTATGGGTCTCTGTGTATCTCTATGTGTCTCTGTGTATCTCTATGGGTCTCTGTGTATTGCTATGGGTCTCTGTGTATCTCTATGGGTCTCTATGCATCTCTATGGGTCTCTGTCTATCTCTATGGGTCTCTGTGTATCTCTATGGGTATCTGTGTATCTCTGTGTATCTCTATGGGTCTCTGTGTATCTCTATGGGTCTCTGTGTATCTCTATGGGTCTCTGTGTATCGCTATGGGTCTCTGTGTATCTCTATGGGTCTCTATGCATCTCTATGGGTCTCTGTGTATCTCTATGGGTCTCTGTGTATCTCTATGGGTCTCTGTGTATCTCTGTGTATCTCTATGGGTCTCTGTGTATCGCTATGGGTCTCTGTGTATCTCTATGGGTCTCTGTGTATCTCTATGGGTCTCTGTGTATCTCTATGGGTCTCTGTGTATCTCTATGGGTCTCTGTGTGTCTCTATGGGTCTCTGTGTATCTCTATGGGTCTCTGTGAATCTCTATGGGTCTCAATGCATCTCTATGGGTCTCTATGCATCTCTATGGGACCGCGTGCATTGCAGGGCACCCAATCGGGCCACCACTTGAACGTTGGAATCTCGATTTGAAGCTTCCGGTGAAGTCATCCGTAGATAGAGAAGTAAAATTAAACAAATCACAACGTTTCCATGGCAACGCAAAGCGGTCTTCATCAGGCGAAGGAGTCGGCTTCTAAAAGGCAAACTGTTTATAAAGGTTTGGGAATGTAGTGTATAGTGTAGTGTATAGTGTGTAGTTTAGTGTATAGTGTAGTGTATAGTGTAGTGTATAGTGTGTAGTGTTGTGTATAGTGTATAGTGTGTAGTGTATAGTGTAGTGTATAGTGTGTAGTGTATAGTGTAGTGTTTAGTGTAGTGTATAGTGTAGTGTATAGTGTAGTGTATAGTAGTGTAGTGTATAGTGTAGTACTGTAGTGTATAGTGTGTAGTGTAGTGTATAGTGTAGTGTATCGTGTAGTGTATAGTGTGTAGTGTTGTGTATAGTGTAGTGTATAGTGTAGTGTATAGTGTGTTGTGTAGTAGTGTATAGTGTGTTGTGTAGTAGTGTGTAGTGTAGTGTATAGTGTGTAGTGTTGTGTATAGTGTAGTGTATAGTGTAGTGTTGTGTATAGTGTAGTGTATAGTGTAGTGTATAGTGTGTAGTGTATAGTGTAGTGTTTAGTGTAGTGTATAGTGTAGTGTGTAGTGTATAGTGTAGTGTATAGTAGTGTAGTGTATAGTGTAGTGTATAGTGTGTAGTGTAGTGTATAGTGTAGTGTATCGTGTAGTGTATAGTGTAGTGTGTTGTGTATAGTGTAGTGTATAGTAGTGTAGTGTATAGTGTAGTGTATAGTGTGTAGTGTAGTGTATAGTGTAGTGTATCGTGTAGTGTATAGTGTGTTGTGTATAGTGTAGTGTATAGTGTGTTGTGTAGTAGTGTATAGTAGTGTAGTGTGTAGTGTAGTGTATAATGTAGTGTATAGTGTAGTGTATAGTGTGTAGTGTTGTGTATAGTGTAGTGTATAGTGTAGTGTTGTGTATAGTGTAGTGTATAGTGTAGTGTATAGTGTAGTGTATAGTGTGTAGTGTAGTGTATAGTGTAGTGTACAGTGTAGTGTAGTGTATATTGTAGTGTATAGTGTAGTGTATAGTGTGTAGTGTAGTGTATAGTGTAGTGTATTGTGTAGTGTATAGTGTGTAGTGTATAGTGCAGTGTATAGTGTATTGTATAGTGTAGTGTATAGTGTAGTGTGTAGTGTAGTGTGTAGTGTAGTGTATAGTGTAGTGTATAATGTAGTGTTTAGTGTGTAGTGTTGTGTATAGTTAAGTGTATAGTGTAGTGGATAGTGTAGTATATAGTGTAGTGTATAGTGTAGTGTATAGTGTAGTGTATAGTAGTGTAGTGTATAGTGTAGTGTATAGTGTAGTGTATAGTGTGTAGTGTAGTGTATAGTGTAGTGTATAGTGTGTAGTGTTGTGTATAGTGTAGTGTATAGTGTGTAGTGTATAGTGTAGTGTGTAGTGTATAGTAGTGTAGTGTATAGTGTAGTGTATAGTGTGTAGTGTAGTGTATAGTGTAGTGTATAGTGTAGTGTATAGTGTAGTGTATAGTGTAGTGTATAGTGTAGTGTTGTGTATAGTGTAGTGTATAGTGTAGTGTATAGTGTAGTGTATAGTGTAGTGTATAGTGTAGTGTATAGTGTGTAGTGTAGTGTATAGTGTAGTGTATAGTGTAGTGTGTAGTGTATAGTAGTGTAGTGTATAGTGTAGTGTAATGTATAGTGTAGTGTACAGTGTAGTGTGTATAGTGCAGTGTATAGTGTGTAGTGTATAGTGTAGTGTATAGTGTAGTGTATAGTGTAGTGTGTGTAGTGTATAGTGTAGTGTATAGTGTAGTGTATAGTGTAGTGTATAGTGTGTTGTGTAGTAGTGTATAGTAATGTAGTGTGTAGTGTATAGTGTAGTGTATAGTGTAGTGTATAGTGTGTAGTGTTGTGTATAGTGTATAGTGTAGTGTATAGTGTGTAGTGTAGTGTATAGTGTAGTGTATAGTGTAGTGTCGTGTATAGTGTAGTGTATAGTGTGTAGTGTAGTGTATAGTGTAGTGTATAGTGTAGTGTCTAGTGTAGTGTAGTGTATAGTGTAGTGTATAGTGTAGTGTATAGTAGTGTAGTGTATAGTGTAGTGTAATGTATAGTGTAGTGTACAGTGTAGTGTACAGTGTAGTGTGTATAGTAGTGTATAGTGTAGTGTATAGTGTAGTGTATAGTGTGTAGTGTATAGTGTAGTGTATAGTGTAGTGTATAGTGTGTAGTGTAGTGTATAGTGTAGTGTATCGTGTAGTGTATAGTGTAGTCTATAGTAGTGTATGGTGTAGTGTATAGTGTAGTGGATAGTGTAGTGTATAGTGTAAATTGTAGTGTATAGTGTTGTGTATAGTAGTTATAGTGTAGTGTATAGTGTAGTGTATAGTATAGTGTAGTGTATAGTAGTGTAGTGTATAGTAGTGTAGTGTATAGTGTAGTGTATAGTGTAGTGTAGTGTGTAGTGTATAGTGTAGTGTATAGTGTAGTGTATAGTGAAGTGTATAGTGTAGTGTATAGTGTAGTGTATAGTGTAGTGTATAGTGAAGTGTATAGTGTAGTGTATAGTGAAGTGTATAGTGTAGTGTATAGTGTAGTGTATAGTGAAGTGTATAGTGTAGTGTATAGTGTAGTGTGTAGTGCATAGTGTAGTGTATAGTGTAGTGTATAATGTATAGTATAGTGTGTAGTGTAGTGTATAGTAGTTATAGTGTAGTGTATAGTGTAGTGTATAGTGTAGTGTAGTGGGGTTAATTTATGCAAATTAGTTCAGAAATGGAGGCAGTTGCCATGGCAGCAGGCAGGGGCTATCCACTGCTGGATGATGGCATCCACAGAGAGCGCTACATCCCCCACTCGCCCCTCCCCTCACCCCCCTTAGCCCCTCCCCTCAGCCCCCTCACCCCCCTCACCCCCTCCCCTCAGCCCCTCCCCTCACCCCCTCCCCTCAGCCCCTCCCCTCAGCCCCTCCCCTCACCCCCTCCCCTCAGCCCCTCCCCTCAGCCCCTCCCCTCACCCCCTCCCCTCAGCCCCTCCCCACTTCCGGAATCGACACAAACACACAACAACTCCCACCTACATCGATCCGATTCCGCGGAGCATCGATCGCCGCAACGAATCGATTCGCGCTCCCATCGCCGTCCAACGCCGACGTGAACGAATCGATTCGCAGAGACACGAACTCCTGAATCGCGGAATCGACTCCACAGCTGATACGCGCAAAGTGTTCCGGAAGTAAGAACCGACCGCGTAAAGAGTTTGGCGACCAGAACTTGGAGCGTAACTACCACCACAACTACCACCACAACTACCACAACTACCACCACAACAACCACAACAACTACCACCACAACTACCACCACAACTACCACAACTACCACCACAACAACCACAACAACTACCACCACAACTACCACCACAACTACCACAACAACTACCACAACTACCACCACAACTACCACCACAACTACCACAACTACCACAACAACTACCACAACTACCACAACAACTACCACAACTACCACCACAACTACCACAACTACCACCACAACTACCACAACAACTACCACCACAACTACCACAACCACCACAACTACCACAACCACCACAACTACCACCACAACTACCACAACTACCACAACAACTACCACCACAACTACCACAACAACTACCACAACTACTACCACAACAACTACAACAACTACCACAACAACTACCACAACAACTACCACAACTACCACAACTACTACCACAACAACTACCACAACAACTACCACAACTACCACAACAACTACCACCACAACTACCACCACAACTACCACAACAACTACCACCACAACTACCACAACTACCACCACAACTACCACAACTACCACCACAACTACCACCACAACTACCACAACTACCACAACAACTACCACAACTACCACAACAACTACCACAACAACTACCACAACTACCACAACAACTACCACAACAACTACCACAACTACCACAACTACCACAACAACTACCACAACAACTACCACAACTACCACAACAACTACCACACCACAACAACTACCACAACAACTACCACACCACAACTACCACAACTACCACCGCTACCACAACAACTACCACAACAACTACCACACCACAACTACCACAACCACAACTACCACAACTACCACCGCTACCACAACAACTACCACACCACAACAACTACCACAAAACTACCACACCACAACGACCACCACAACCACCACCACAACCACCACCACCACCACAACCATGGTCAAACCACGACAACCACCACCCCTGCTAGTACCTCTCCTGCTCCTCCTGGCCCTCTGCGCCCGCCGGGCCACCGCCACCCGCTACGCCACCCTCGGCGTGATCCCTTTAGCCCCCGCCGGTGATGATTGGCTGTGGGTCAACTCGGCCCTCTACGGCTTCGGCTCCCCGCTCACCTCAGCCGCGGGCGTCCTGCGTGCCGCGACGGGAGATCGCTTCGGCTGCTCGCCCGGGTTCACCTCCTTCTGGCCGGAGCTTCCCGGCGACGGCAAATCCACCGCCGGACCCAATCCCGCCGCCAATTCTGGCCACGGAGGTGCCAATCCCGCCGCCGGTGGTGGCAATTCCACCGCCGCCAATTCTGGCCACGGAGGTGGCAATTCCACCGCCGCCAATTCTGGCCACGGAGGTGGCAATTCCACCGCCGCCAATTCTGGCCACGGAGGTGGCAATGCCACCGCCGCCAATTCTGGCCACGGAGGTGGCAATTCCACCGCCGCCAATTCTGGCCACGGAGGTGGGCAATTCCACCGCCGCCGGTGGCAATCCCACCACCGGAGTGGCCACGTCTGGCGGTGCCGGTGGTGGCGCTCCCACCACTGGTGGCGGTGGTGCTGGTGGTGGTGGTGGTGCGAGGTGGATAGCCCTGGTGCAGAGAGGCAACTGCACCTTCAACACCAAGGTGCTGGTGGCCCAGAGCTTGCACGCCAGCGCCCTACTGGTGGTCAACAGCCAGGAATTGACCGTGGAGGTGATGGCGCTTGGAGGTGAGTGGTGGTGAGTGGCGGTGAGTCTGTGGGTGTCTCTGTGTGTGGGTGGTGAGTCTGTGGGTGTCTCTGTGTGTGGTGAGTCTGTGGGTGTCTCTGTGTGTGTGGTGAGTCTGTGGGTGTCTCTGTGGTGAGTCTGTGGGTGTCTCTGTGTGTGTGGTGAGTCTGTGGGTCTCTCTGTGTGTGGTGAGTCTGTGGGTGTCTCTGTGTGTGTGGTGAGTCTGTGGGTGTCTCTGTGGTGAGTCTGTGGGTGTCTCTGTGTGTGGTGAGTCTGTGGGTGTCTCTGTGTGGTGAGTCTGTGGGTGTCTCTGTGTGTGTGTGGTGAGTCTGTGGGTGTCTCTGTGGTGAGTCTGTGGGTGTCTCTGTGTGGTGGTGAGTCTGTGGGTGTCTCTGTGTGGTGAGTCTGTGGGTGTCTCTGTGTGTGGTGAGTCTGTGGGTGTCTCTGTGTGGTGAGTCTGTGGGTATCTGTGTGGGTGAGTCTATGGGTCTCTGTGTGGTGAGTCTGTGGGTCTCTGTGTGGTGAGTCTATGGGTCTCTGTGTGGTGAGTCTTTGGGTATCTGTGTGGTGAGTTTGTGGGTCTCTGTGTGGTGAGTCTGTGGGTGTCTCTGTGTGGTGAGTCTGTGGGTGTCTCTGTGTGGTGAGTCTGTGGGTGTCTCTGTGTGGTGAGTTTGTGGGTCTCTGTGTGGTTGGTCTATAGGTCTCTGTGTGGTGAGTCTGTAGGTGTCTCTGTGTGGGTGAGTCTGTGAGTCTCTTTGTGGTGAGTCTGTAGGTGTCTCTGTGTGGGTGAGTCTGTGAGTCTCTGTGTGGTGAGTCTGTGGGTCTCTGTGTGAGTGAGTCTGTGGGTCTCTGTGTGGTGAGTCTGTGGGTCTCTGTGTGGTAAGTCTATGGGTTTCTGTGTGGTGAGTCTGTGGGTCTCTGTGTGGTGAGTCTATGGCTCTCTGTGTGGTGAGTCTATGGGTCTCTGTGTGAGTCTGTGGGTCTCTGTGTAGTGAGTCTATGGGTATCTGTGTGGTGAGTCTATGGGAATCTATGTGGAGAGTCTATGAGTCTCTGTGTGGTGAGTTTATGGGTCTCTGTGTGGGTGAATCTGTGGGTCTCTGTGTGGTGAGTCTGTGCGTCTCTGTGTGGTGAGTCTGTGGGTTTCTGTGTGGTGAGTCAGTGGGTCTCTGTGTGGGTGAATCTATGGGTGACTATGTGTGGTGAGTCTGTGGGTGTCTCTGTGGTGAGTCTGTGGTTTTCTGTGTGGTGAGTCTATGGGTCTCTGTGTGGTGAGTCTGTGGGTATCTGTGGGTGAGTCTATGGGTCTCTGTGTGGTGAGTCTATGGGTCTCTGTGTGGTGAGTCTGTGGGTATCTGTGTGGTGAGTTTGTGGGTCTCTGTGTGGTGAGTCTATGGGTCTCTGTGTGGTGAGTCTGTGGGTCTCTGTGTGGTGAGTTTGTGGGTCTCTGTGTGGTGAGTCTGTGGGTCTCTGTGTGGTGAGTCTGTGGGTGTGTCTGTGTGTGGTGAGTCTGTGGGTGTCTCTGTGTGTGTGGTGAGTCTGTGGATGTCTCTGTGTGGTGAGTCTGTGGGTGTCTCTGTATGTGGTGAGTCTGTGGGTTTCTCTGTGTGAGGTGAGTCTGTGGGTGTCTCTGTGTGTGGTGAGTCTATGGGTGTCTCTGTGTGGTGAGTATGTGGGTCTCTGTGTGGTGAGTCTATGGGTCTCTGTGTGGTGAGTCTATGGGTGTCTCTGTGTGTGGTGAGTCTGTGGGTGTCTCTGTGTGGTGAGTCTGTGGGTGTCTCTGTGTGGTGGTGAGTCTGTGGGTGTCTGTGTGTGTGGTGAGTCTGTGGGTGTCTCTGTGTGAGGTGAGTCTGTGGGTGTCTCTGTGTGTGGTGAGTCTGTAGGTCTGTGTGGTGAGTCTGTGGGTCTCTGTGTGATGAATCTGTGGGTGTCTCTGTGTGTGGTGAGTCTGTGGGTCTGTGTGGTGAGTCTGTGGATCTCTGTGTGGTGAGTCTGTGGGTCTCTGTGTGGTGAGTCTATGGGTCTCTGTGTGGTGAGTCTATGGGTCTCTGCGTGGTGAGTTTGTGGGTCTCTGTGTGGTGAGTTTGTGGGTCTCTGCGTGGTGAGCCTATGGGTCTCCGTGTGGTGAGTCTATGGGTCTCTGTGTGATGAGTCTATGGGTCTCTGCGTGGTGAGTCTGTGGGTCTCTGTGTGGTGAGTCTGTGGGTCTCTGTGTGGTGAGTCTGTGGGTCTCTGTGTGGTGAGTCTAAGGGTCTCTGTGTGGTGAGTGTATGGGTCACTATGTGGTGAGTCTGTGGGTCTCTGTGTGGTGAGTCTATGGGTCTCTGTGTGGTGAGTGTATGGGTCACTGTGTGGTGAGTTTGTGGGTCTCTGTGTGGTGAGACTATGGGTCTCTGTGTGGTGAGTTTGTGGGTCTCTGTGTGGTGAGTCTGTGGGTCTCTGTGTGGTGAGTCTGTGGGTCTCTGTGTGGTGAGTCTGTGGTGTCTCTGTGTGTGGTGAGTCTGTGGGTGTCTCTGTGTGTGGTGAGTCTGTGGGTGTCTCTGTGTGGTGAGTCTGTGGGTGTGTCTGTGTGTGGTGAGTCTATGGGTCTCTGTGTGGTGTGTCTGTGGGTATCTGTGTGGTGAGTTTGTGGGTCTCTGTGTTGTGAGTCTATGGGTCTCTGTGTGGTGAGTCTATGGGTGTCTCTGTGTGTGGTGAGTCTGTGGGTGTCTCTGTGTGTGGTGAGTCTGTGGGTGTCTCTGTGTGGTGAGTCTGTGGGTGTCTCTGTGTGGTGGTGAGTCTGTGGGTGTCTCTGTGTGTGGTGAGTCTGTGGGTGTCTCTGTGTGTGGTGAGTCTGTGGGTCTGTGTGGTGAGTCTGTGTGTCTCTGTGTGATGAGTCTGTGGGTGTCTCTGTGTGTGGTGAGTCTGTGGGTCTGTGTGGTGAGTCTGTGGATCTCTGTGTGGTGAGACTGTGGGTCTCTGTGTGGTGAGTCTATGGGTCTCTGTGTGGTGAGTCTATGGGTCTCTGCGTGGTGAGTTTGTGGGTCTCTGTGTGGTGAGTTTGTGGGTCTCTGCGTGGTGAGCCTATGGGTCTCCGTGTGGTGAGTCTATGGGTCTCTGTGTGATGAGTCTATGGGTCTCTGCGTGGTGAGTCTGTGGGTCTCTGTGTGGTGAGTCTGTGGGTCTCTGTGTGGTGAGTCTATGGGTCTCTGTGTGGTGAGTCTGTGGGTCTCTGCGTGGTGAGTCTATGGGTCTCTGTGTGGTGAGTTTGTGGGTCTCTGTGTGGTGAGTCTGTGGGTCTCTGTGTGGTGAGTCTGTGGGTATCTCTGTGTGTGGTGAGTCTGTGGGTGTCTCTGTGTGTGGTGAGTCTGTGGGTGTCTCTGTGTGGTGAGTCTGTGCGTGTCTCTGTGTGGTGAGTTTGTGGGTCTCTGTGTGGTGAGTCTGTGGGTTTCTGTGGTGATGAGTCTATGGGTCTCTGTGTGATGAGTCTATGGGTCTCTGTGTGGTGAGTCTGTGGGTGTCTCTGTGTGTGGTGAGTCTGTGGGTGTCTCTGTGGTGAGTCTGTGGGTCTCTGTGTGGTGAGTCTATGGGTCTCTGTGTGTGGTGAGTCTGTGGGTCTCTGTGTGGTGAGTCTAAGGGTCTCTGTGTGGTGAGTGTATGGGTCACTGTGTGGTGAGTCTGTGGGTCTCTGTGTGGTGAGTCTATGGGTCTCTGTGTGGTGAGTGTGTGGGTCACTGTGTGGTGAGTTTGTGGGTTTCTGTGTGGTGAGTCTATGGGTCTCTGTGTGGTGAGTCTGTGGGTCTCTGTGTGGTGAGTTTGTGGGTCTCTGTGTGGTGAGTCTGTGGGTCTCTGTGTGGTGAGTCTGTGGGTGTCTCTGTGTGTGGTGAGTCTGTGGGTGTCTCTGTGTGTGGTGAGTCTGTGGGTGTCTCTGTGTGGTGAGTCTGTGGGTGTCTCTGTGTGGTGAGTCTGTGGGTCTCTGTGTGGTGAGTCTGTGGGTGTGTCTGTGTGTGGTGAGTCTATGGGTCTCTGTGTGGTGTGTCTGTGGGTATCTGTGTGGTGAGTTTGTGGGTCTCTGTGTTGTGAGTCTATGGGTCACTGTGTGGTGAGTCTATAGGTGTCTCTGTGTGTGGTGAGTCTGTGGGTGTCTCTGTGTGTGGTGAGTCTGTGGGTGTCTCTGTGTGGTGAGTCTGTGGGTGTCTCTGTGTGGTGGTGAGTCTGTGGGTGTCTCTGTGTGTGGTGAGTCTGTGGGTGTCTCTGTGTGTGGTGAGTCTGTGGGTCTGTGTGGTGAGTCTGTGTGGCTCTGTGTGATGAGTCTGTGGGTGTCTCTGTGTGTGGTGAGTCTGTGGGTCTGTGTGGTGAGTCTGTGGGTCTCTGTGTGGTGAGTCTATGGGTCTCTGTGTGGTGAGTTTGTGGGTCTCTGTGTGGTGAGTCTGTGGGTCTCTGTGTGGTGAGTCTGTGGGTCTCTGTGTGGTGAGTCAATGGGTCTCTGTGTGGTGAGTCTGTGGGTCTCTGCGTGGTGAGTCTATGGGTCTCTGTGTGAGTGAGTCTGTGGGTCTCTGTGTGAGTGAGTCTGTGGGTCTCTGTGTGGTGAGTCTGTGGGTCTCTGTGTGGTAAGTCTATGGGTTTCTGTGTGGTGAGTCTGTGGGTCTCTGTGTGGTGAGTCTATGGGTCTCTGTGTGGTGAGTCTATGGGTCTCTGTGTGAGTCTGTGGGTCTCTGTGTAGTGAGTCTATGGGTATCTGTGTGGTGAGTCTGTGGGTCTCTGTGTGGTGAGTCTATGGGAATCTATGTGGAGAGTCTATGAGTCTCTGTGTGGTGAGTCTGTGGTTCTCTTTGTGATGAGTCTATGGGTCTCTGTGTGGTGAGTCTGTGGGTCTCTGTGTGGGTGAATCTGTGGGTCTCTGTGAGGTGAGTCTGTGGGTCTCAGTGTGGTGAGTCTGTGGGTTTCTGTGTGGTGAGTCTGTGGGTCTCTGTGTGGGTGAGTCTATGGGTGACTATGTGTGGTGAGTCTGTGGGTGTCTCTGTGGTGACTCTGTGGGTCTCTGTGTGGGTGAGTCTGTGGGTCTCTGTGTGGTGAATCT